GGAAGTAGTGAGCTAGAGAGTGTGTAACACATCGGTCTCTCTATGTGCTGAATCCCCGGTCTTGCCAAACCAATTATTTTATGCTGTAGGTTAACGCCCTTCAGGGACTGAAAAGACTCTAAACATCCAGGCTTATTCCTTCAGTTGTAGGAGAGCAAAGTAAAGGAGCAGCATTAATACTGATATATTCACCTTCTTTTGTTTTCTGCTTATAGTCTTTAAACTACACTTATCTGAAGCCAACTTCTCATTCTAAACATGAGGTTTGGGAATGATGTCTGTGGGTCAGTCTTTGGCTCAGAAACTTTGTTTTTATGCTTCAGTCCTAAAGTCTTGAGAATGGAGAATTTGCAATAGGAAGATAATCAGCCTCAGCAGTGACTCTGTACACACAAAATGGGTGTACAACAGTCATGTATAAAAGGCCGGTCTGTTAATTAATTGTTTTCAAAGTAGTCTAGGGGCGATAAGATTGTAGTTTTGAAGGTGCTCCACACCTGCTATCTGCACTCAGTTTTTTCTTACTGCTGGTAATGGCGCTATAATCAGTTAATACTTCGCTTGCACAAAACTATTCTGGCAATATATACTTTAAACTCATTCTGTTCTTCTGGGAACTCTCAAAGCGTATTTATTCGCAGTCCACAGTCACTGTCCCCCAGCTTGCTGGTACTGTTTGGACTGGGACCTTAGACCTTGCAGTTTCGAGCTCACCGTCGACAACGGCTTAATAAATCCAGACAGTGGGGGTTGCCTGTAACCAAACGAGAGGGCCCTGCTGTGTGCAGTGGAGATAGATATAGATATACATAGAGAGATATAGATAAAGTCAGGATGTGTCTCCCGAGTATTTTACACCCTCTGACTCTTCCTCGTGCTAGTTTGATGGGTGACCGCACTCGCCCTCCTTCCCTGCCTGGCTTTTGCTCCTTGACTTTGAGTCAAGGGATCGTTTATTTTTCTGGGGACCGGTCCGTGGGGTTCGCAGCTCTGACAGGCGCGGGGGAGCAGCGGGTCCGTCTCCACGGTCAGCCCCAGAGCGTGTCCGGGGTGGGG